AGGTGTATGTGGCTGGTGCCTTAGCCACTTGAGCAGGCGCTGAGCCAATGTCTGCTAATCTTGATAGCTGTCTTTACCCAATATAGATAGTATTCTTATTTCTCTTTCTCAGTTTCTTCTTTAATCTTCTTAGAGACAATTTTGTTTTACTGCTCAGGCTGGAGTGCAGTGGCACAGTCAAGTTCACTGTAGCCTCGAATGCCAAGTGATCCTCTGGTCTTAGCCTCTGGAGTAGTGGGGACTCTACTACTCTGTAGCCTCTGCAGTTGTCACTATTGTTTGTCAGTCCTGGGCTGGATTTGAACCTACCAGCTCTGGTGTATGTGGCTGGCACCTTAGCCGCTTGAGCTACAGGTGACAAGCCGATTTTTCCTTTTTATCACACTGGCTGTTCACAGTATTCAGAGTTTGACTTGTGCATTTTACTTTTATTTCTGGTTACACGAATATTTGTTCATCCTGAGTTGAATGCACCCTGGTCTTTCTCTTGTAAGGAACCCAGAGGTCCAATCACTGGCAGAAACGAGAAGCCCAAGGAGTAACAGATGGGATGGTCTGTCGCATTCTGACACACATTCCAGGAACAGGGGTTGACCAAGGTGAGCCACGCTGGGTCTCAGAATTAGGAGTCACTAACGACCTTGACCACTGCAGCCCCATCTAGATGGGCACCAGGTTCCGTGCACTCGCTGGGGCTGCCTTAGCCCATTCCTTTCTCTAATGAGCCAGAGCATAGGAAAAATGGTTTTCAAAGCTTTCTTTTCATCAGCAAGAGCATGTATAGTGTTGAGGGCTGCCAGGAAGTGCTGCATAGCACTTACTCTATAGTTAATCAGAGGGAACGTTCCCTCCACTTCTGCTGGCCACAGAGGTGAACTGTCGTCCCACTGTGGCTGTGTCTGCAAAGCCCTGCTTCTGTGTCCTCTTAACCCACAGCCTCCTCCCTGACAGGCATTAATGAAGATTCAGATGCCAACCTTTTCTTGAGGATTCCTTCACATGCAGAGCTCAGAGAATGCTCTGTCTGCCTCCCAGAGACCACTTCCTCTCAAGCAGCAAACATCACCTTGCTCATCTGTTCCCACCACTCTCCTGCTGCTGCTGGGTTTTACTCTTGGCATTAGTTTCAAACGTGTGTGCAACCCTCTAGGCACATAGCTTGTTTGATAAGCCCAATAAACCCCAGTGAGTCTGTGTCACGTCAGTGACGTTTTAATGTTACTCACATTAAATAATGTGATCACAGCTGCAGCAACAAGGCACCTGGTGTCCAGTGACGTCTCTTCTTTTTGGTCAGGGAAGAGGCTCGCCTGTTTCTGAAATGGCACAGATCCTAGAGGTGTGGAAGTCAGTAAGGTCAGAGCACACTGAATCTCACACATGGCAGCCGCCCAGCCTCTTGAGGACGGTCACAAAGGGCTCTACATTACCATTGGTTGGGACAGCTGAGTTGCCATCTGGTGGGGCATGGGAGCAGTCATGAGGTCCAAAGAGAACATTCTCCAATCTCTGCATCAAAAAGAAACCAGCTTGGGCGGCGCCTGTGGCTCAAAACGGTAGGGCGCCGGCCCCATATGCCGGAGGCGGTGGGTTCAAACCTAGCCCCGGCCAAAAAAAAAAAAAAGACACCAGCAAGCTGACATATAAAACTTACAAGCACAGAAGTGGGTTTTTTTTTTTTTTTCTTTTGAGACGGAGTCTCACTCTGTCACCTTGGGTAGAGTGCCAGGGCATCACAGCTCACAGCAACCTCAAACTCCTAGGTTTGAGCGAATCTCCTGCCTCAGCTTTCCATGTAACTGAGACTATAGGTGCCCACCACAATGCCTGGCTAATTTTTCTATTTTTAGTAGAGACAGGGTCTCACTCTTGCTCAGGCTGGTCTCAAACTACTGAGCTCAAGCAATCCACCCACCTCGGCCTCCCAGAGTGCTGGGATTACAGGCATTACATGAGCCACTGCACCTGGCCATATGAATGGCTTTTTGTTGGCAGTGTTAGCACTGGCCTTTGCCAGAGAAGTTTATGTGCATTGGCTCCGACTGATGACTTCCCCACAGGGGGCAGAGGTGACACTGTACCTCGGTGCTGGGCAGTGGTCCACTCTTCTTCACTCCAGTGCCAATTTCAGACTAAAGGGGTGAAAGACAAAGGGAGTCTGGAGAAAGTTTGCTAAACTCAATGACACTTCCCCCCCCCAGTCCTAGACTGTGCTCCTCACTAGATTGTATCTAGAGAGCACAGATTTTCCTTCACCCTTTTACCCCCTACAGTGCTCAATAATTACTTGTCGAATAAAAGAGTAAAGCTCTTTATCACAACTAAGCGTAAGGTGAAGGATCCTTAAGAGGTTGGAAAGAACTGTTCTCTTTACTTTGACAAACTGCAGAACTAAGAAAGAAATTTCTGTCTCACTCTGTTGCCCTGAGTAGAGTGCTGTGGCGTCCGCCTAGCTCACAGCAACCTCAAACTTCTGGGTCTAAGCGATCCTCCTGCCCCAGCCTCCCAAGTAGTTGGAACTACTACAGGTGCTCACCATAATACTTGGCTAATTTTTTCTATTTTTAGCAGAGATGGGGTCTTGCTCTTGCTCAGGCTGATCTCGAATTCCTGAGCTCAACAGATCCTCCCACTTCAGCCTCCTAGAGTGCTAGGATTAGGCCTGAGCCACTTTGCCCAGCCTAAGAAAGAATTTTTTTTTTTTTTTGAGAAAGAGTCTCACTATGTTGCCCTTGGTGTCACAGCTCACAGCAACCTCAAACTCTTAGGCTTAAGCAATTCTCCTGCCTCAGCCTCCTAAGCAGCTGGGACTACAGGCACCCGCCAAAATACCCAGTTACTTTTTTGTTGCAGTTGTCATTATTGTTTAGCTGGCCTGGGCTGGGTTTGAACCTGCCAGCCTAGGTGTAGGGAGGTGGCCTAGTAGGGAGGTGGCCGGCTCCCTATTCACTGAGGTACGAGCACCACCCTAAGTAATTTTAACGTTGAAATTATAAATGTGTTCATTTTCAGATTCTCTTTTTTTTCATCTCAAGGGAGCTGATTTTAAATCTTTCTGGATCACTAAGCCTTCATGAAATTACAAACATAAGTTACCATATACTAATCATTTACTGAGTCAACACATCAAAAATTGGGAAATAAAACCAAATCAAAACTTTTAGATCTCTTTTTAACATGTTGCACCACCTACGTGAGGGAACACATACACGGATGCACTCTAGGTGAATGCACTGGTGCACACATACACGCACCTACACACTAAACATGCTCACGTAGCTATGTCTGTATTTTTGGCTGGATAGTCTTCTGTCATCTAAATTTGTTTAAACTTTAATATCTCCATAAAATCAGCTCTTTTTGAATATCCGTTCCTGATCACATATTTTCATATTTCCCCAATCTCCTAGGAATTAAATGTGGAGTGGCCTGGCCATGCACAGCGGCTCATGCCTGTAATCCTAGCACTCTGGGAGGCTGAGGTGGGTAGATCGCTTGAACTCAGGAGTTCAAGGCCAGCCTGAGATACAGCAAAATCCTGTCTCTGCTAAAAACAGAAAAAATCAGCCAGGCGTTGTGATGGGTGCCTGTAATCCTAGTACTTGGGAAGCTGAGGTAGGAGGATTGCTTTTAGGCCCAGGAGTTTGAGGTTGCAGTCAACTAGGCTGACTCTCAGCCTGGCAGGCACTCTAGCCTGGGGCAACAGAGTGAGACTATCCCAAAAAATAATTTAGAGTGTCTTTGACTGTACCCCCATCATTCTCAAATCTAATTACTATTCAGACAACAGCTCTAGAGTACATGTTGCTCAAAGGTAACTGGCAGCCATTGTCATCATCTAAGTTCCAGAAATCTTTCTTTTCATGCTTCTTAGTGTCCTTGCCATTCCTCTCTATAGCCACCACTTATTCAGGGTGTCCTCACTTCACATGTAGATCCCACATTTTGACCAGGCTTCCAAAATGAGCCCCCAAGGTGAGAGAGCCCTGATCCATCTCATCCCGCCAGGTCAACTGTCTTAGAACAAAAGTGAACTGGCCCAGCCATGAAGTATTACTTGTTGTCGGACCACCAAGTAAGATGATAAAATAAAAATGATGAGTTATAGCCCCTGACTATCATAACAAGACATATCTGCTGGAATTCCAAAGTCCTAGGGCTGTCTAGAGTGGAGACCAGCTCCTGTATCTAGGAGACCACAAGGAATAAGATGCTAGCAGAAAGAACAAGCCTCCTGTGCTGGGATTCTTTGGTAGAGAAGTGTCTTACCTTGAGCAGGGGCATTTCTCGAGCCTGCTGGACTAAAAGATGCATTTCATTGATCTGCTGCCGTACAAGAGGTGGGACTGGGTTGCAACAAGCTATGATGCCCTGAGGTTCCCTGAAGACAAGTAAGAACACACGCAACTTGTCATCCAGAAACACAGCCCTCAAAGGCTTCCAGATAAGAACAAGGACTGGGCAGAGCCAGTGTGCCATAGCTAGGCTGAAGTCACAGCCAGGTGACTAAGGAAACACGATCACATCAGGGTGGCCCAGGCCAATCTCTTCTCTGTGTGCTCTTTGCTGTGTCAAACTTTAAATAACTTTCCTCTTAAAGCCTGACTTCTGCAAATAAGGCAGCCTAGAGGTAAGTTTCACAGCACTGCTGATTCTCAGTTCTGCAGTGGGATGACCAATAGATTATGAATTTTGATTCTTGCTTATATTTCTTTTTTTCGTGGGGGGAGGCAGAGTCTCACTTTGTCACCCTTAGTAGAGTACCATGGCATCATAGCTCATAGCAACCTCTAACTCCTGGGCTCAAGTGATCCTCTTGTCTCAACCTCCCAAGTAGCTGGGACTATAGGCACCCACCACAAAGTGCAGCTATTTTTAGAGATGGGGTCCTGCTCTTGCTCAGGCTGGTCTAGAACTCCTAAGCTTAAGAAATCCACCTGCCTTGGTCTCCCCAAATGTTAGGATTACAGGTGTGAGCCACGGCACCTGACCTTGCAAAGAATTCAATATTATAAAATGTTTCTAATCATGAAATGCCTTAATTTGGAAGAAAGTATAAAGGGGATTTTCTTCCCTTGCAAGTGGATGTTGTATGTTTGGAGACTTACACTGGACTGAGTATGAGGCATAATCACCCAAACGGTTCTAGTTCACAAGTTTTAGTTTTTAAATGGTAGACCAAAGCCAGTAATTCTAGGTTCCTTGGACTTGCTACCTTCTAAGCTTAAAGCACTATCTTCTCTGAGTAAATAGCCTTGGGCAACAACAGTGAAAACGGCTTGATTTTGGAGGACATGGGATCAACCAAGAAAGTGTTAACTGCATTAATCAGCTCTCAAACTCACTTAGGCAGTTCTTCGGCTATCTTCAGCATCATATGGTTTGGTAGTACATATCTGGAAAAAAAACACAACAGGGATGCATGAGGTTCAGCTGGTAAGTTCCATTAAATGCTATAAAACAGGGGAAAACCATCAGCTTTTGTGGCAAAAGAAAAAAAAAGTCCATTATTGCTATGTTATTAGATCTGCTCAGTTTAGAATTCAGTATTCAAAGAATCTTTGATCCTTTACCCGTAGCTTTCATCTTCCCTGCGAGCTGTTTTATCTCTCCAGGCAAAAAGTAGCTGAAATGCTGTCAACTGCTGTGTGTTGAGATGCTTCTTTTGCTTTCTATATAGTTCAAGGTAGGACTCATCCGTAAAGATAGGTTTGATAAATTTCTGTAAAACAGAGAATACTCAAGATCAGTGGGAATAACAATTGTGTCTTGGGCACTACAAAATGTTTTGGCTCTTTCATAAAAGAGCAAACGTAAGAAATAGAACCTAATCAGAAACAGAGAGTTGAGAGAGTCAGGATCTGTGCGACGGGCGAAAGGTACCTTGAGGCAGATGTCCCTGCTCCGCTGCCACACCACCTGCGACTGAACGGGCCGGCCTCCACCGCGCTCCCACAGCTCCAGCCTCATCTTGTCATAGATGTAGAGCAGGTAATGGGTGTCATCCCGGGCGTAGCTGAGCATTTCCTCAGGCAGAGGGCTAGAATTGCAGAGGACCTTATATTATAGATTGCCCCCAAGGACAGCCGTTCCATTTGTCTACTCTGGTGCTCAGACTTCCTTAGACTCCACAGATACAAAAGATCCTTTCACAGCTAATGGTATACTTATGCCAGCATTTCCTGTGTTTTAATGACAAACTGTTATTATTTTAACAGCTGGGTTAAAGATAAGGGCACCATAGTCCTGAGTTTGCATCTCAGTTCTCCCGTCCGTCCTTGGACAAGTTCCTTATCCCCTCCGAGCTTACCTGCCTTGCCCGTGAGACAGGAACAAGGCACTTCACAGGCTGCTGTGAGGATGATACAGGGCTGCACCCTTGAAGCACTTAGCTCAGTGCTTGGCTCTGGGTAACAGCTCAGTAACAGAGTAGTTTTTAGATTTTATCAATTATTCTCTTTTATTTGAACTTAATTAGTCCAAATACAGTTTTATTTTTATACTTAGAAATTCTGACATGTGGAATTGGGGCAAAGCTTAGAGGCACCTTTATGAGACAGCTGTAAGTTAGGGAGGTAGCTAACCATCTGAAAATGAGCCAAGCTGAGTAGGGCTTCCAGAAAGTGTGCTGAAACTATTACCTTATACTATAGAAAACACTTATCACAAAGCTAAATCAACAAGGCACCTTAGAGTTCTCTCTTATATATGGGAGATCATCTCACAACCATCCCTACTAGGGGGATGTGAGTTTGAAACAAGAGACTGTCACGGGTTAAATACCGACACGGCACCTCTTTTTCCAGCCACTTTCCACAGAACATGGTGTAATGGCATCAGCCCAACATAAACTGCATAGCATAAAACTTTCACGCTGTTGAAAACACCTGGGGAAAAGCCTGCTGCCATTCACCTGAAGATTCAAGGAGCAGTACAGCCCAAACACAGGTCTTGACAGGTTAATAGAAACCTTGCTTTCTTCTGCCACCCACATTTCCTTATCAAGAGCAAACTGACCGTATTCTCCAATCAGCCAGCTGATACTGCTTGTTGGACTCCACATTGCAGTAAAGTTTCAGCAGATGGTCGAGTGAGTGCCTGCCCAGGTTAAGAAGGCGGGCTGCCTGATGGGTATCAAACATGTTCACAACATACAGCCCGAAGTCTTTCTGTAGCCACTCTATGTCTGAGTCAGCACCGTGGAAGACCTGAAACCAAACCCACAGTGCAGTAAATGGGCACTGGCACAGGGCACCCTGCTCTGAAACTAGCTCTGCTTCTGGGTTATTAGAACATGAGATTAGAAGCCAGGATTAAGATTAAGGTATAGGACATAACTACAACTCTGGTTTTTACCTGTCATGTGTAAATTATATAACCTAATGGTTTGTACCCTCCTATCTGAAATTTTAAAAGAATGAAAAAAAAAGATTCAGATATGTGCAGTTTTTTTGAGACAAGAGTCTATGTCACCCTTGGTAGAGTGCTGTGGTATCACAGCTCATAGCAACCTCAAATTCTTTGGGCTTAAGCAAGTCTCTTGTCTCAGCCTCCTAAGTAGCTGGGACTACAGGTGCCCACCACAACGCCTGGCTATTTTTTTGGTTGTAGTTGTCATTGTTGTTTGGCAGGCCCGGGCTGGATTTGAAGCCACTAGCTCTGGTGTATGTGCTGATGCCCTAGCTGCTGAGCTATAGGTGCTGAGCCAGATATGTGCAGGTTTTTTTTTTTTTTTTGAGACAGAGCCTCAAGCTGTCACCCTGGGTAGAGTGCCGTGGCGTCACAGCAACCTCCAACTCCTGGGCTCAAGAGATTCTCCTGCTTAAGCTTCCCAAGTAGCTGGGACTACAGGCGCCTGCCACAACACCCAGCTATTTTTTGGTTGCAGCTGTCATTGTTGTTTGGCGGGCCCGGGCTGGATTTGAACCTGTCAGCTCAGGTGTATGTGGCTGGTGCCTTAGCCGCTTGAGCCACAGGTGCCGAGCCAGAGATACGTGCAGTTTTAAATGTTCTTTTTACTTTTGGTCATACCTACCTCCATCTTCTTTTTTTGAGACAGTTTCACTGTCACCCAAGCTGCAGTGCAGTAACATGATCAAACCTCACTGCAGCCTCAAACTCATGGGGTCAAGCCATCCTCCTGCCTCAGCCTCCCAAGTAGCTGGGACTGCATGTTTTTGCCATCACACACAGCCCCGTTTTAAACTTTTTTGGTAGAGACAGGGTCTCACTGTGTTGCCCAGGCTGATCTTGAACTTCTGGGACCAAGTGATCCTCTTTGGTCTCCCAAAGTGCTGGGATGATAGGCATAAGCCAGCATGCCAGCTGCACAGCTTTCTCCTATATGCCCGAGTACACACTCTTCATGTCTCAAGTTGTTACCAGTTAATGATACAAGAAAGCAGCTCTGTCAGCTGCTGGGAGGCTGAGGCAAGAGAACTGCTTCAGCCCGAGAGTCTGAGGTTGCTATGACCTGTGACTCTATGGCACTCTACCGAGGGCAACAAGGTGAGACTCTGTCTTGAAAAAAAAAGAAAGTAGCTCTATGAGCTTCAAGTATAGTCCAGATAATCTTGGCCAGATAATCTATAGGCCAGATAATCTTGATGGCTTGCTATATGCAGCAGTCATTAAAATAATTTAACTTAACATTTTTTTAGGTGGTAACAAACTCTTAGCTGTTCTAACAGAGTTTTAGATGCAAAAGCAGTTTAGCCTATGGTACCCTTGTTATGAAATAACATGATTTCAGCTAACTTCATTAGGTCTAGGTTGAAATAATGGAATAGGGTGGCGCCTGTGGCTCAAGGAGTAGGGTGCCGGCCCCATATATACCGGAGGTGGTGGGCCTGGCCCTGGCCAAAAACTGAAAAAAAAAAAAAAAAAGAAAAAAGAAAAAAGAAAAAAGAAATAATGGAACAATGCACTGAAAACCACTTAATTTTTGCAGTTTTTGGCCAGGGCTGGGTTTGAATCTGCCACCTCCAGCATATGGGGCCAGTGCCCTACTCCTTTGAGCCACAGGTACCGCCCCAAACCACTTAACTCTTATACATTATACATGCAAGCGTTAGAAAATGCTGGCTGACCTTAACAATGGCTGGGTCTGTGAAGCTCTCATTGAGAATGTACAAGTCACTTCGAAGCTCGAGAGTGTCAATGACGAAGTCTTCTGTCCGAGTAGAGATCTGCATCAGGCAAGTCAGTCCCAGGAAGCTCCTGTAGGAGTGGTGCTAACACACACCACAAAGGAAGAGCAGAGAAAGAAAATGCTGGGACTACATGTTCCTTGATTAATTTTTTTAGGGTTTTTTTTTTTTGAGACAGAGTCTCAAGCTATTGCTCTGGGGAGAGTGCTGTGGTGTCACAGCTCACAGTAACCTCAAACTCTTGGGCTTAAGCAATTCTCTTGCCTCAGCCTCTGGGACTATAGGTGCCCACCACTCTGCCTGGCCACTTTTTTTTTGTTGTTGCAGTTGTCATTGTTGTTTTTAGGTGGCCTGGGCCAGGCTGGAACCGCCAGCCCAGGTGTATGTGGCTGGCACCATACCCGCTGAGTTACGGGTGCTGCCCCTTGACTGATTTTGATGTCAGCTATAGAGCAAAGTTATTTAATTTTAACCAAAAAACAGATTAAAATTAGTATTAATTTTATACTTCTTGAGTAGGTGAACTCACAGAAAACACAAAAATTTCACTCAAGGTCATTTGCAAGATACCTCCAAGTCTACCGCAAACTCTTGACAATTCAAGAGCTTTTCATTGAGCTCTACAAGTTCATCCAGGGAAGATACAAAATGGCAGGGTGTTTCTTCTATAGGCCTGTACAGCTGGATCAAGAAAGTAAAGTTAGAAAAAGAGAAGAAAGTTAAAAATCATCCCCTAGTAAACTACAGAATTATGAGTGCAAAAAATGATCCCAAACTATAATAACCTACTATGTTAAGATAATCAAGAAAAGTCAAAATTACATCAACTAATTTACTTATATGATTCCTCTTGAGCTACTAAACACCATCCTTAAACTGAAGCTGGATACTAACCTGGGGTTGTGGCTTTTGAAGTACTGAATCTGGTGGAGTAAAGTGATCTAATTCATACTGGTAAGGATGTGCAAACCTGAATAAAACAGAGAAATCTTTTCAATTAATTCTGTTATTCAAAGGGGAAACAAAGGCCCTTATCCAATTTGTAAAAACAAATGAGAAAAGATCCTTGTGAAAATATCTTCCCTTTATAAAAAGCATCATTATTTCTCTGATGATTAGGGACGATGAGCATTTTTTCATGTTTGTTAGTCATTTGCCTTTCTTAGAGACAGTTCTATTGCTGTCTCTTGCCCAGTGATCTATGGCATTGGTGGGTCTTTTTTTTGTTGATTAATTTGAGTTCTCTGTAGATCCTAGTTAGCAAGTCTTTGTCCAATTCATAATATGCAAATATCTTTTCCATTCTGAAGGTTGTCTATTCAAAACCACCCTGAGATATCACTTAACCCCAGTAAGAATGGCCCACATCACAAAGTCTCAAAGTTGTAGATGCTGGCGTGGATGTGAAGAAAAGGGAACACTTTTATACTGCTGGTGGGACTACAAACCAATATAACCGTATGGAGAATCCTCAAAGAACTCAAATTAGATCTCCCATTTGATGCTGCAATCTCATTACTAGGCATCTACTCAGAAGAAAAAAAATCATTTTATCATAAGGACATCTGCACTAGACTGTTTATTGCAGCTCAATTTACAATTGCCAAAATGTGGAAACAACCTAAATGCCCATTAACCCAGGAATGGATTAACAAGCTGTGGTATATGTGTACCATGGAAAAGATGGAGACTTTACAACTTTTGTATTAACCTGGGATTGAGTTGCAAAACATTCTTCTTAGTAAAGCATTACAAGAATGGAAAAACAAGAATCCAATGTACTCAATTCTAAGATGAAGGCAGCAGATGTGAGGTAGGGGAATGAGGGGAGGGAGGAGAATGAGGGAGCAGGGAAAGGGGAGGAGGAAGGAGATGGGGGGTCACAGTGTATGGCACACCTCTTGGGGGTGGAATACAATTATAAGAGAGACTTTACCTAACAAATGCAATCAGTGTAACCTATCTTTGTACACTCAATTAAAAAAAAAAGCATCATTATTTTAATGATAATTCAAGTGCAAATAAATCAGATGATATATCTTCACCCTTAAGGTATGATAACTGAAAGTCTGTTCAGGTTAGGCACAATGGCTCAGCCCTATAATCCTTGCATTTTGGGAAGTTAAGGTAGGAGGTTAGCTTGAGGCCAGGAGTTCAAGACCACCCTGAGCAAGAGTGAAACCCTGTATCTACAAAAAAATAAAAAAATTAGCCACATGTGGTGGTGTGTGCCTGTGGTCCCATGATGAAACCCCCTGCACTCTAGCTGGGGTGACAGAGCAAGACCCTATTTAAAAAAAAGAAAAAAGTCTATTCATTTCTTTAGAGAGAGGTAGAGACCCAAGTAGCTTTATAAAGATTTGAGTTCTTGGGGCGGCGCCTGTGGCTCAAAAGGGTAGGGCGCTGGTTTCGTATGCCAGAGGTGGTGGGTTCAAACCCAGCCCCTGTCAAAAACTGCAAAAAAAAAAAAAAAAAAAAAAAAAAAAAAAAAAAAAAAGATTTGAGTTCTTATTTATAAAATATCATATGGTTAGTGCTATAGTTAATATAAAAATGAGAAATATATAATTTCTTGTGGTTTAGAATAAATCTGTGAATTTAGAAGAGAAGGGCAAATATTTTAGTTGGTCATGGGCTAAATTTTATTTTTTCCATTCCTCTCTCATATATTTGTGTAAAAATCCTAAGCCTGTGGCTAATTCCTCGAGAGCAGAGCTACCTTTCTCTACCTTTTTTCTCTGGCCGTCAGCTTGTGGCCTCCAGCACAGAGCTGGAAACGAAGGAATGAATGCTCAGACATAGGCTATATGTAAGGAAAAGGGTGATACTAATTATCTGTTAGAGTTGGGGTCTTGCTCTAGGTCAGGTTGGTCTCGACTCCTTAGCTCAAGCAATCTACCTGCCTCGGTCTCCTGGAGTGCTAGGATAACAGGCGTCAGCCTCTGCGCTTGGCCACTAACAAAGTTTTTATCACAGTGCTTTTTTTTCCCTGGGTAGAGTGTCATGGTGTCATAGCTCACAGCAACCTCAAACTACTGGGCTCAAGCAACCCTCTTGCTTCAGCCTCCTAAGTAGCTGAGACTACAGACACTTGCCACAATGTCTGGTTAGTATTTTCTCTATTTTGTTAGAGACAGGGTCTTGTTCTTGTTAGGGCTGGTCTCAAACTCCTGACCTCAAGCAATCCACCCATCTGGGCCTCCCAGAGTGCTGGGACTACAGGTGTGAGCCACCTCACTCAGCCATCACCATGTTTCTTTATACTGAAGGCAAAACCATCTATTCTAAACATACATTTTAAGTGAAGTTTTTCCAAGATGTTTATATTGCCAGTGAAGAAAGCTTTTCTTCACATTGCTTGAAAATGCAATCAGTAACCTAATTCTTTATACCCCCAATGAATCCCAAAAACTAAAAAAAAACAAAAACAAAAGCAAAACACCTTGAGTTTAATGTCCTAGCTCTGTGGGAAGGTGGCATTTCTAATTTTGTTCTTAGAGCTATGTAATGAGGATGAGAGTGACTGCTACCTGTCAGGCCTGTGGTAAAGGCTACGCAGACCACACTGTGCAGGCCCTTTGTGAACACAAACAAGAGGTTTTCTCGCTAATACTCATGTTAGGATAAGGTGAAAAATCACCTGCTCCTCAGATTTTTTTATTTTCATGTACACACTTTACAAAAGTGAAAACAGTGGAGATGTGGCACAAAGGCAAGAACTCACAGTGGGAAGGTCAAGCACGAGCAAACACTTACATGTCCTGCTCCACCTTCTGGGTTCTCTGCTGATGGATGAAATCTGCCAGTGCAGGGGGGACATCCAAGTCCTCAGGACGATCCTGCGGGCGTTCCCGCCTTTCTTTGGAGAGAGCTGGGGACCCGAGCAGTGACAAAAACATCATCACAAAAGAGAGTAAGCAGATTTGCACCTTTTCTAGTTATGGAGGGGTCAGCCAGCTTCTTTTGAAGAAAAGGTGACTGTGAAACTTGTACCCCTTTACTGGTTCTTGAACCACATTGAAAGAAAGACTCAAACACAAATGGGGTTCCTATTACTTACCCTGAGGGAGGGGTTTCTGAGCATTGGGCTTGATGAAGATTTTAGGAAGAAATGGTGTGTTGGAATTGTCGATCTTCTCTCGAAACTTGAGCTGAGGTCGGACGATGTTTTTTGCATGAAGCAGCCGGAAAGTTTCAGATTTTGTTTTTTTGCCATATTCTCCTGCCTATGATCAATGCATACAGGTTACTTGATAACACAGCAACTTGATAAATTAGAAAAATAAATTCCCATTCATGTCCTCCAGGGAGACAAGAATATTCCTTGAGTCATTTAGGAATATACATCTAAGTGAGACCGGGGTGTGAAGCAGAGAACTTATAATTGGGTTGGATGTGTTTATGAGAACAAGAGAGGCAGTGGCCAATATATTAAAATAAGAATGCACATTAGAATGAGCAAAAGCCCTATTAGAAAGCTGACATCAGGAGCTCGCTCTGGTTAGTTTGACACCCTCACCTTACGTAAGCCCTCACCTTACGGTTCCAGCTGGACACCACTGTTTTGGGGACCTGCAACCCAGCAGGGAGGACAGGCTGTTGATTCTTATTTACACCTGCTGCTTCGTCCAGTAAAATACCCTAAGAGCAGAGGAGGTATTAGCTTAGTACCTTCTTGTTGAGGTTAACAGAGTTAGTTAAAGAATTAGGTATATGAGAATATACACGTGAGAGTGAATCAATGCATATATTAAAACATCATGTTGTATACCACAATTATACACAGATGGCCCTGACTTATGATAGCTCAACTTAAAACTTTTATACTCAGGACGCTAAGACAGGAGGATCGCCTAAGCCCAGAAGTTTGAGGTTGCTATGAGCTAGGTTGACGCCATGGCACTCTAGCCTGGGCAACAGAAACTTTGTCTCAAAAAAAAAAAAAACAGTACCGGGCATGGTGGCTCACACCTATAATCCTAGCCCTTTGGAAGGCTGAGGAGGATGGATTGCTTGAGCTCAAGAGTTCAAGACCAGCCTGAGAAAGGCCAAGGATCACTTGAGCCTAGGAGTTTTAAGTTGCTGTGAGCTATGATGCTACAGTACTCTACGTAGGGTGACAGAGTGAGACTCTGCCTCAAAATAAAAAATAAAAAAAAGAAAGTGATGTGCATTCAAGAGAAACTGTACTTTGAGTACCCAATTTTTCTGTTTTTCATTTTCAGTATAGGAGTCAATAAATTGTGTTAGATATTCAACACTTTACTATAAAATAGGTTTTTTTTTTTTTTTTTTTG